GTACACTGTCTCTTCGCTCAGCTTCTGTCTCCCTTCCTGTCACCTCGTGTCTCTCTTTATCTCCCTCTTCCTCCTCTCTCCATCCCTTTCTCTTCATTTTTCCTTTTCTCTGCTACCGTCCAACACCTCTGCTGAATTGTTTTTGTCTCTGCTCCCTTCTTCTTCCAGCGACTCCTCTTCCTGTGCTTCTGTTTTTTGTGTGCATTCGCAAGATGCCGTATGATGATGATGATGGTCTTTGCTGTGTGTGTGCGCGCGTGCGTGTGTGTGCGTGAATAAGCATGATGGGACTGGTCTTTGCTGATGAAGCTTAAGTCTGTGAGCAGACCTTTCCTCATTACCAGATGAGAGACGAATGCGCTGCTTTGGAGGGAGAGAGGGAGGAGGGGGAGGGGGAGGGGAGGAGAGGGGGAGGGGAGGGAGAGGGAGGGAGGTGAGGGAGAGAGAGAGAGATCGATAAAGGCAGAAGGGTGTAAAGACTCTAAGCTGGCTTATTTGAAAACACCATTTACATGTCAAAAAGACAACACGAGCATTTTCACATCGTTTTTGTGAAGATATTTTCGTGCAAGATTTCTAAATTTATACTAAAAGAGAGGAAGCAATTCAAAGTCCCGGTATCTGTTATTGCAGCAATTCTTGGTTCCAGCTAACGTAGAGGTTTATCCACAGCCTCCTCCTCTGTCCTCACCTCATCCCCCCCCCCCCCCCCCCCCACTAACTAACGTGTTGTTCCAAACTCGCTGACGGAGGCAGCCTGTAATGATCTTAATATCTACACGCCGAAAATGAGGGGGAATGAATTGTGCTGATTCCTGTCTTTTCCCTTTGCTTGTCTTTGTCTTCGTCGTGCCGTGTTCCTCATACATATGTCTGTCCTATGCTACATCCACGCACCACACATTTACTTAATATTCTTTGTATACAAGGAGGGGGGGGCCCTAATTAAAATTGAATAGAAAGTGCACCATGGAGGCATGTTGATGCATACATACACGCCTGCTGGTTACTAAAGCAGTGCTCTTATAGACTTCTGGTTGAGGCAGGTGGAGATCAGACATAAATAGAGACGGACTTTAAGGAAAGAGGCAATCAACAACAATTCACTTTGGTTTTGTGGGGGAAAAATGATTCTGGTTTCTAGCGTGTATGTGTGTGTGTGTGTGTGTGTGTGTGTGTGTGTGTGTGTGTGTTTCACCAGGGGGTTCTGTCTTGATGGTGGGGTGCTGATAGATTTTAATCTTATTAACAGCCCTTACCCTGTTTGGCAAATGGCTTTTCAACCGCTTGGGTAATGAACTGTTTGAAAGTGTTTTCAGCACACACACGCATGCCTCACTTCAACACACACACAGACACAAACGCACCTTACACTTTCTCTTTCTGAACCAGCCCCCTCCTCTTTGTGCTGAGCAGAGGCCAGATTGCCAGCTGTCCTCACATCTCAGACACACACACACACACACACACTGGCTTTCTGTTTTGTTATTAGATGCTACAGAAGTGGATTTAGTGCCCCATCCTCGGTTATAAATGAGCTTTAGTGGCTTTTAACAAATCCTGTGTGATTTTCCCTAAATGCATCACTGCCAGGTGAGTTATAGTTGCTATTACACTGTAGTTAAGCCCTGTTTTATTGCCCTGATGAGGTATTTTTTACTTTCACTTGGCGGCTGCTGCTGCATCACCAGATAGGGTCCAGAGCTTTCAACTTATTTTTACTATTTTATTCGAGAAATAGAGTGCTACAATTTGCATTTCCGGTTTCCTTGTCTCAAAGTCGGTGGGTTTATTGAATGGGTTTTTGCTTAAATGCCTGAAATAAAGTCTGTGGTTAACACGAGCTAATAAGATACCCCTCTCGTGAATGTCTTTTAAAAGGTGGTTTGCTAACAAGTGGCCTCATGCCGACTGTTCTGCCTTTACAGCCTCATTGTGTAGCGTCGCAAGCTTTTCTTTTTATTGTTGCCGATTGCATTCATGCTTCAAAAGTCATAAAAGCGGTGTTTATTTGTGAAGATTATTTTGCAGACTTTAGAGAAACGTCCAAACAGAATCGGGTGCCTGTCTAAGTGCTCACAGTCATGGTTTCACTTTTCGGCAGGTTGTCGTTAATTTCCCACTGTGTGCATAACTTACTAGTCTACCAGAAGGGTTTTCTTAATTGAAACGGGGAGCTGAGTCTACAAACTTGTCAGCCAATACAAACTCTGCAACAACAACTTGGAGATCATTTGTACCGGGAACAGATACTTTTTTGGGCGGTTTTAAATGTGCATCCATCATCATTTGTACAGCCACACCCTGACTCAGCTCACACCGGGCGAACAGGCGAATGCACCCTGGACAGATCGTCGATCTATCACAGGGCTGACACGTACGTATAGACAGACAATGCTCTTAATGCTCTGTTCAAAATCAACAGTTTCTTTCCTCTGCTCAGCTGCTTCCCATCGAGAGCCAAGGATGGATATTTGACCGAGTGTAGCCTTCTGTTCAACAAACAGAAATGTGTGTATTCGTCTCTGTTATACGCGTTTTTCCCATTAGATCAAAAATATATGATTTTCCTCAAGCAATCGCTGCGTCTAGGGAAATGATTTTTGCTTTTGAACTGGTGTTTTCCTGTGTGGGGTAAATGCCCCAACACTCAGAACACATACTTTGCATATACAAACGGATACAAGGCAGAGGCACCAACATTTAGACATTTACACAGAAACATAATGAGATAAAACCACATGTGGGATCCATCTTTATCCCGCTCTGGCTTCTGTCTTGCCCCCCGGTTAAGGAGTAAACCGTTGTGACCCTCATCAATATTGACAAGCGTATTCATGAAATGAGCTCAAGGATGGAAAAATGAACAAGACCTTGGAGAGAAAATTGAGAGCAGGATGGGCGAATGAGACGGAATGCAAATGCTTCGATGACCAAGGGCATTACTTGTCAGGGGAAGGCCAAAAAACAGATATTCTGCACCTCTGGTCCTCACTCATCTCTTCAGTCATCACTCTTTTCCCCCCCCTCTCTCTTTGCATCTCATCCATTGTGCCCCTCCGTTACTTTTTTCCCGGTCTTTTCCTGCTGTTGAATCTCCAAAATGACAGCACATAAAACAACCGTGGAACAGAAGCTCCCCGAGTGCTCATTAAGGCCTTGTTAGCATCCAAAATGATCATCTCAAGGAGGGAATCGTTCTTGGATGGGTTATGGAGCTAAACAAAGGAGATAAAGAATCCTTTTCTCACCAAAGTGTCTTTTTACTGCGCCATATCAGAAAATCACTCAAGAACTGAATCCATTTACTTTCATCTTCCACCGGCACAACAGAGAGCTTAACCCTCCTCCTCCCTCCTCCTCCAGGCGCTTTGCCGGACATAATTATAAATCACTTGTTTTCTCTGCTGTCGCACAAAGAGAGATTTGGAAACAGGTGGACTCGACATTTTATTTATTTTCCTCCGAGGCCCTTTCATCAGCATGGCAATGTCAGAGCTACAATTATCTGTTCACAGAAGAGCAAAGCAGCCGCAGCCTCTGCTGTTGAGCGACTGGCGTCTGCCCTTGGCCAAGGTGGCCAGTTGATGCCGGTGGAGGAAACTTCTTTTGCCTGAAAACTGTCTCCGAGAATATTCAGTGTCACACGGAGGCACCAGCTCATTAACATGCATATGCTTGTCTTGTTACACGGGGAGCTGTATTTCCATGTCTACACGGGAGGAGGAGCGTGAGCGGCATGTTAGCAGAGCAGCAGCAGCAGCTTCAGTCCTTCGGGCTCTGTCCGTGTGTCTACACGGGACGGCTTCAGGCGCAGTTTTGAGTCTCGGTCATTCAAGTTTTGGCAGCACTCAAAGCCCGACGCGCAATCACTGTAGTTATGCGGATAAAAGAAATGCAAGATAATATATTAGGACTGTAACGTTACTGCCAGGTCAGCTGTTTAGCACTCTGTAAGAAGGACCACAATCTAGCACAAAAGTTAAAGCCGGAAAAAATATCAAACCAGCAGTTTTACACATTTTAAGCAGTTTACTTTAAATCACATTTCATTTACGTCATAGCGTCACTTAACGCCTCTGTGTTTTACAAATTCTCATTTTTTTTTTCCTTTCTCTCCAGCCCTCCATTGGTTTCTGTCTATTTCCATAAAATATGTGCATTAATTGACTGAATTACCACACAACAACAATGTTATATTGACAAAAATGAATTGCCTAACTCAAGCAAATTTTCAAGAGTCACCTCATTGATTTTCGTATCGCACAGAAAAGCTGCTTATCTAGCAAATCTATGCCCAATGCATAAACTAAATTTCCCCTCATTCTAAATATACGTGTCATAATACAGTATGTGTGCAGCTCACCTCTTGTCCTCTTGCATTGACTGTGTCTACAACTACTTTATGGAAGTGTACCATTAAGTGTATCTTTAGAGAGTGGGATGTGTCCACAGTTCTAGTGTGTGCTCGCGGTTTGTTGTTCCTGTGAGGGTTTTAAGGCATAGTTGCCTGGCCAACACGATCCCTCAGACACACACTCTCCAAGGTATTTGACCTGTTTTGCCCCCGAGTAAAGAAAACCGTCTGTCCTGTGTCCCAACACTCGCCTGTGCATTCATTACCGTACCTCCAGTTCCTTGCCAAGCAAATGCTTTCTGTAAATTGTGCAGTAGGAAGTGTGTGGTATTCACCAACACTCCCTTTGTGCTCTTTCGTTATCAGTATGTACTTCATGGTCTTTTTTTCAAATGGCCCATTGTGGCGTCAGGTTCTGGTTAAAGACCTATTAATTCTACACACGCCTCTCCGGTTCCGGCTCTGTCAACAGTGTTTCATTAAAACGCTCTCTGCAGTTTGTAGCCGGTGAATGTTTTCCCTCCACCTTCAATGCTCCCGTTGGCAGCAGGGTGAGGTCCTTGAAGTCCCTTTTAAGAAAATTGGGGTTGACAGCAACAGCTGTTGTGTTTACGCTTGATGTTGATGTTGCTCCTTTTTATTCTGCACTGGAATAATACATAGAGCAATATAAAGTGTTCTGTGCTCGTTTTCTTTATCCATACCCTCCTGACATTATTTCTCTCTCCCCTCGCTCCTCGTGTGTCTCCATTCAGGCAGTACTACGAGATGCTGTACAACACCGCAGACGAGCTGCTGAATCTGGTGGTGGACCAGGGTGTTCGCTACACGGAGCTGGAGTACATCAATGCCCTGTCCTTACTCCACCGCAGCCAGACCGGCGTCGGGGACCTGAGCACCCAAAACATCCGGCTGCAGAGGCTGAAGGAGATCATCTGTGAGCAGGCCGCCATCAAACAGGCCACCAAAGACAAGAAGATCACTACGGTGTGAACAGGACAGGGTCCGGGGGGGGGGGGGGGGTGATGGCCCATCAAGAAACCTCTGTCCTAAAAAGAATGTGTTTCCGCTCCTTCGGTTCTGTCGGGTGAGAACACATGCAACAGATAATTGGGTCATGTATGCAAAAGTAATGAATGGTGGGTGATATTTAGGAATTGGGTTAGAAAACACTGAAATAGAGGCTTGCTCTATACCTAGATCATGTGTGTCATATATATATATATATATATATATATATATATATATATATATATACACTGCTGCCCTCCAGGGTCCTTCAGTGAATGCAGCACTGGCTCACTCTAATTGGGAAGCGAGGTGACAACCAACACAACTGCAGACTTTGCAGTTTAGTTCGCTACGAATCTGTCATGAGGTTACAGTATGTCGTCAATTTACAATTTTTTTTAAAAGTAACTACAAATGCAGCAGTCGCACTCCGACTCCAACAGTCCACCCCCACCCCCACTCTACCATGACGCCAGCTCCAGATAAAAGCCGATTGTCTCGGACACTCATCTGAACTTGGGCCCCGTCTCATCTCATTTTCCTATTAGATCTAAACTGCTGCTCTCATTTACACCTCCATCTCTCCTCTCCTGGCAGCCCCATGAGCCCACTGACTCTGTCTGCAATAACCGATGTCAGATTAGACTGTCTGAATGAGGCCACATCTTCCGCCTGCTGCCAATTTCGATCGGTCCCCAAAGATTTCCCGAGCAGAGAATAGTACCATCTATCCGTCTTTTTTCTTCTTATAGTTAGTGCAGTAAACTAGTGTGGAAAGTTGTGAGCGGATTAACATCTTTTACAAATTGGAACAACAGAGACTCTGTAGTGAAGATATTTTTGCTGATTTCAATTTGATTCTTTCCATAAAACAGAGATGAGGTTTATTTCAAATGTTATATTTCACAGTGGCATGACTTGCACTTTGTGTTCAGGCATGTGTGTGTGTGTGTGTGTGTGTGAGAATACATTTCATCAGTCATACAAGCTCTACAAACTGAAACATCTCAATTCTGAATCTTTATTTTGTTGTCGCCACCGCACGTGTGCAGGATTTTTGTTAAATGAACTAAACATACGAACTCAAGAGACGATCACAAATCATTCCCCTCCCTGTTTTTAAGTTCATTAACTTGGGGGAGAAGTACTTAACGAGAGCAGGGGAGGGGAATGGGAGCGTTGTCAATACGGCGGACCCCGGTGCTGGTCTCCCTGAAGCCCACAAAGCAATCCACCATAATGACACACAGGCTGGGGATCGATGGGAAAACAACCATGTAGCTGCCGAGGGGTTCGTCTAGCGCTCTGAAACGGGCACTTGGTGTAAAATCTCAAATCTGCTCATTCAGCTGCTCAGAGCTTCTTTGGAAATGTTATACATGGCGAAATTTCAATACAATGTTAACGGACTGTCTTTTCACAAAGAGATTCTATTACACTATTATCCCACTGCACACACATCACCCCTAAAAGTCCAGCAGGCTTATGTATTGGACATACTGCATAAATGTAAGTTTGAACCACTCCTGCTGTCCGTGCTTTTTATTATTGACTGAAATATGTCAAATATTATCAAGGTTCTATTTTTTTTTTTTTTGAGGAAAAACTCTGCTTTTCTATTTCACGTTTCTTTTTCTTTACAATGGACATTTTATTTTGCACATCTGGGATGGGAGTACTCTCCATGTTTCAAGTAAGAATGTATTGGATATTGGAATCTATACATGTTTGTCTTGAACATGTTTAAACATCCTCATGGCTCCTCTAGTTGTGGAGTGTCATCTTAGAAATGCTCTGAAATGTTTGTCCAAATTAAGCACACGTGATTTGTTAATGCATACACTAACGCGCTAAGAAAATAAATCCTTCAAATTCCCTCGTGGTTTGTGTATTTTGTAAAGTGATTTTCCTTGTGTGGGTGCATACCAGTCATATTGTCTATTGTGGGAAGTACAGCTGGCAAGAGTTCATGCTCACACTAACACCTTTTGCACACATGACAGTCCATCACTGTGATAGTCCATCACTGTTTTGATACACCCGAGATGTTAGCGCCTTATGTCATATGGGCGAGGAGGGATCCAAAACCAACACTAGAGGATGCATTTTACCTGACAGCTGTGATGTGTTGTCGGCCATGGTTTGAAGCATGAAGTGCAGCATATTGGAATCGGAGAAATCAACACAAACATACCACCCAAAGGCTTGTTTTTTTCATCATCTTAAAATCAAGTGACGTTGGATTGATTTATGTAGTATTTTAATTATGTTTATTATTTACTCTATTGCACTTCTGTCCATCCTCAGTTGTAATGTCTGTTCTGTTCCCCTTAAATAACGTTAAAGTTACCCGGGAACGAAACATTACCGAGGTGCGCATAGGGACGCTGTCGGTTTTGGAGAGAAGAAAACTACATGACCCACAATGCCTTTCACCTCTCACTTGTCTCTAGCGTTGCCGAGCGACGACGGGGCGTGCTTCATGTGGAAAGCTAGCTTGCTAGTCCACCAGTCAGTCTGTAGTCCCCCTTCACCGTGGTTTTTTATGATGGAACAATGAAGGAAACGTGCACGAGTCAACAGTGCTCCTCCGCGTCACGTGGCTGCAGTCCTCCAGGGCCCCACAGTGACGCTCCAGAGGCTCCGGGCTGCGGGGAGCTGGAAGAAAACAGAGAGATGGAGGTAAGGAGTACGAGGACGTTTGGTGAGCTAAATGTACCGTAGTACTTAGAAATAAACTTTTTATCCTTTGCAATTTCATCCATTTTATTGCTTTCATCTCTGACAAAAAAACACAAGCTTTACAGTAAAGGTAACGTTAGAGTGGATGCGTTTCAATAAAACTCCATACTTGTTCTCTTGTGCATCAGATAAAGCAGGTAACCTTGCACTCGAGATCTGAGGGAGCAAAACAACACAGCAAGGTCAAATAGTTGATTGTTTACAATGCGTGAAAGCCGTATTAACAGCGTGGTGTGCATCCTTCTGTGTGTCTATGCTGCATGAATATGTGTATGTGTGCACTAGGTGATGCTTATGGTGGCCTCATGCATTATCTTCAAATTCTGTAACTGCATTTGTTATTGCAGGGATGCGCCCATCGTTCACTGGTGTATATTCTGCTTATTCTATTGAAATGGCACATTTAATCTGTTTATGTCTACAGAAGGATGGTGTTTTAACTGCTGCGGTGGTCTCCAGGCGTGTGTCCAACCTCCGAAGCGTTGGCACTGGGCTGCACTATTTCTACCACCACCTGTGTCTGCCTGTAAGACACTTACCTACACAGACAGCACGTGTCAACGACATTTGGCTTTCAGTAATGTTGAGAGATTTGTGTAATTTATCAAGACAAAGCAACCTGTTACAGATCAGTTTAAATGTTCCTTATTGTCATGTTGACGGCCTTTAGTTTAACCAAGGCTGCATTTATCTCCACTCTAGAGTCAGGATCTCAGTGACGTCTCCGTTTTATGCAATTATGTCCATCTTCAAAAGCTGCAACTGCCACACAACAAAATCAAAGGTGACTTTTTCTTCTTCTCATATTAATGAAAAGTCCTTGAACCTATTTCTATTTCTAAAAGCCTGTGACTGCTTTGAAAGATATGTAATCAAAGCGCGGTTTGAATATCTAACTTCTCTGTTTCTGTCTTTACCCGTTGATCAATTTACTCTTAACTTTTCTCAACCGCCAGATTTGTCCTGTGTGAGCCACATGCCCTACCTTGTCATCCTGGATGCTTCTCACAATGAAATCTCCAGCTTCTTTGGATTCCAGCCACCCAAGAACCTAAAAGTAACGCGGGACCTTGAGCTGACAGGATAAGACCGCGTTTGATTTGTGGGGCTCGGGCTTCACTTTCTCCTGCTATTCCCTCATGATAGGCCCTGGATTTCCATAGCCCATCTGTAGTCTCTTTGAATATGCTTACAAGGCATTAACTGCCCTTGAACGACGGTGAACTTTAGAAAATTGAAAATTCCTTCCCGGGATTCAGTTGAGGTATTTCTTCAGTGAGAGGTACTGAAGACTTCTTTATGACTTTTGTTAACAGTGTGCTGCTTCTTTTTTTCTTTCTTCAGGAGGTCAATTTCTCCCACAACCGTATGACAAACATGAAGGACTTGTCAGCCTTTTCATCTCTTAGTCATTTGGATCTGGGCCGTATCCTTCAGAGATATTTACATTAAACCATGTGTACTTGAACTTACACACACACTTTCTCTATCTGCATCTTATATATCCAATATACTTTGTGTTCAACTACATGTTTCCCTTGTGTGTTATTCTTAACATGCCCATGCTCAGACAACAGTTTCAGTGAGATCGGGGGTCTTGAGCAATGTTGCAAGCTCACCAATCTCAACCTGGAACACAACAAGATCTCGAGGGTCGGCGGCCTGGGCAGACTGCCTCTCACACAGCTGTGCCTCGTAGGTCCAACTCTATTACAGTCAGCAATACGATAAACAAGAGTGCACGTGTACACAAACATTCATACATACAGTACACTCCAGCGCATACTTACAAACATGAATTTTGAACAGAAATCTTATTTGTCTTTCTTTGCAAGTGCTTGGCAGTACTTCCACTTACATGTATGACTTTGCTTTGTAGGAGGTTGTTTCCCTCTGTGTGTTGTCTATTTATCATTGTGCACACACACACACACACACACACACAGTAGGAGTTATTTCAGAGTTGTTCTCTTTTCTCATGTGTTCTATTTTACCTTATGTATGCTAAATTTGACCTATTTATGTTTGCCTCTCTATTCTCTCCCCTCTGTCTCTTTATGTCTCTCTTTTTGGCTTCATTTTTACATTTAGTAAAACCTTGGCCCCCTGTTCGAGAATCACCATATGGTCCAACAGCAGGCCTTTTCTCTCTCCTTGGTTCTGTCTCTCTTTCTGCATGTGTGTGTGTGTGTGTGTGCGTGCGTGCGTGCGTGCGTGCATGCGTGTTCTGTCCTTTATCAGTGTTTCCTCATTGTCAGCAGCCATCGGTCTGGCTGTGTCTGCCCCTGTCTGTAGCTTTGCTTTGGGACCAGCTGCTGGTGTTTGAGTGAGCCTGGACCAAGTTCAGCACATACAGACAGACACACACACTCATACCTTGTCCATCCAGCAACCATCTAATCCCATCCCTGACCCCACTTCCTCTCATGCTGGCTCCCTAAACAGCACAACCTCTGTCAGCCCAGCCTGTGTCCCAGCCCATCACAGCACCGACCTGGAGCTTCAAGGGACCAGTGCAGTCGCCCACCCCCACTGACAGCAGCCCTCTGCCAGGCAACACGCTTGGCAAGAGGAGGACGAGGTGTGGCCAGACGGCTAGATAACAACTTTAGTCAGTGGAATGTAGAGAGAGAGAAGCACGCTTGGGACCCTGACAGGGAAGGAGTGCCCAGGTCTGGTTCTTTAGTCGGTTAGCGTGCTGCGCTTGCACCTCGCCAGCTGTTTGGCTGTCAGTCCTCACCTGTCAGGATTTAGCAGAGAGAGGCAGGCCTGCCACTCAAGTCAGTACTGAGGGGAAAGAAGGCCCAGGCACCCTGCAGAACGACCATGGCACGTCCTTAATATTTAGCAGTGGGATTCGTTAACTGTATATGAAGTAGAACCGCGGGTTGGATGCCACTTATGTATGCATATTCATTAATATCATGTACTTGCCTCTTCAAACGTGTCCTCTGTCCTGTCTTTGTCCAGAGGGGGAACCAGCTGGAGAGGATTGAAGGGTTGGATAATCTGAAGTCTCTGCAGGTTCTCGACTTGTCTCTGAACCGCATCACCACTCTCTCTGGCCTCCACGATCTCCACGTACTGGGCTCCATCAATCTGGAGAGAAACCTGGTACTATTTTCAGCGGAACTTTCGGAACTAGCGGCTCAACAGAAAAAATATGTCAGCCTAAATCTTAAATGTGATTTAGCTCGTTTATGAGATTAAAATCCAGAAACAGATGTAGATTTGTAACACTTGTAAAAATAGGAATGCACCGCACTGTACCGTCACACATAACTTTCAAGCTCAACAAGTTAAGGATTTAACAACTACAAATGAACTATTACACAGGGACTCCGCTGCAGGAATTTGTGGTTTTGTTTCAGATCAGCGAAATTCAGGAGTGCAAACACGTTCATGACCTTTCCCTGTTGAGGGACCTCAACCTGCTGGGAAACCCTGTACAGGTAACCCAGCCCTTCATCGACCACATGGTTCAATGTGTGGAGGTATATTGTGTATGAGAGGTCTGCATCTAGTCCTCGTGAGTTCTGTACCCGGCCTGTAAGCACTCAAGGCGGCTCTAGATGACTCCCTTCTGTGTGTGTTTTTTGGAATGAATGCCATGTGAATGTGATTGGCAGGAGCAACCCGATTACAGATTGGCAGTCATCTTCCTCCTTCAACATCTGACTGTGCTGGACCAAGAGAAAGTCACTGCTGAAGAAAAGGTATAAATAAACATACTAATTATTCCATGACCAGAGGAATTGTTCCAATTTAAAAGCACAAACACCATATATCAACACCCCTGACCTCCATCTTTAATTAGGGATACTATTTTTAAAGCTAGAATGAATGCCACCATCCTAATTGAACTGCTATACATAGATGTGGGATTGCTTATGTGACACTTGATTACTGGCATTATATTCCAGGTGTCATCAGTCAACAAGTATGACCCTCCTTTGGATGTGGTGGCAGCCAGGGATCACATGACCCACCTGGTGTATCATCTGATGCAGCCTCAGGTGCTCTATGACAGGTTGGTACAAATATACAGCAGTGTTTAAAATCCTCTGAATGGTCCTCTGACTTCCTCTTGAATGTAAAGCTTAAGATAAAACCATCCGGTGGATTGAGTTAATATAATGGTAACTATTTATTTCCTTTAGTGGAAGGAAAAACGGATCAAAAAATATGTTTATAGAGGTGAATGCGAAGGTTTACAATCAAATTGTAATATTCATAATCACCTTCTAAAGTCAACTGTCAGGAACGCTGTTTTCAAACATGTGCAGCAATTTAGTAGCAGTGTTTCTGATGCTCATATTATGTACTCCCTAAAAGAAAAAAATTTGTTTGAGCATCAGCACTTTTTTTTGAGAACATCCATCGTCAGCAAATAAAATGCTGCAGCTACAGTCAATTTACCATTCTCCTGTGCTTCCTAGACGGAGCACATCCATAAAGCCCACAAGGCTCCCGTTCATATTGACTGTAGCGGCTTTCACGACTGGAGAAAGCTTGTGCTCTACCTTCATGGTTTATGATACTTAACTCCTGCTCATCTCAGAGAGAACGTCCCTGTCAAGTGTATCAGAAACCGGTGTCTGCACGTGTGTGTGTGTGTGTGTGTCTCTCCGAGCAGTACTATGCCCAGTGCAGACTCTCCGTATGCCATGCTGGTTCTGACCGGTCCTCAAGGCTGTGGGAAGAGAGATCTGGCCCACAGACTGTGTCAGGAGTTGAGCGAATGCTTTGCCTACGGGTCAGTCCCAAACTTTCTGTACACATATCAACTGTCACATACTTAACAGTACTTGCACGGCGTACTAAAATAGATTCAGTGGAATCAACTGAAAATGCACATTATGTTGTGTGTGCTTCCACAGAACCTGTCACACCACCAGGGGGCCGTACGTTGGAGAGGAGAACGGGATTGATTACCATTTTGTCAGCGAGGAAGATTTTCAGAACATGATTCAAATGGTGCGTTGGCTTCGTCATTAAGCTTTTTTTTTGCACACCACAGACCCCAGGAGTGACCACATGAGAACAAAATACAGGTTTCACGGTTATTTTCAACTCAAAATAATCATCTGCTGTCAATTTCGTAAATCATGCAAACAGATTAGTACTCACCACAAGCTAATTAAATGTACTCTGTGGTTTTGAAAGGTTTTTTTTTATGCTTGAGTCACATAACTCCCTCAGCAAGGTTCAAATGGAATCCTCTCACTGGCCATAATGAGTTGAGTAGCTGAGATAATTAGTTTTACTTAGATTGATTGATTTTACTTTATCTGGCTGATATTTCAATTAACACAGATACATTTATTTGAATTCAGCCTTTTTTGACGAGGTGCAATTGCTATATTAATTGCATTTTTCTTACAGATAACTTCCCAAAGCATCTCCTACAACATTTCCTTGCGAGTGATGATTATTGGTCAGACATAACTGACAAGGACACAGAGAGGGTTTTATTATCACCAATATGCAGACCGTGGTCAAAAATTCCATGTTCCAGACCTCTTTTCTTAGAGGGTCAGCAACTACTAGAGGCTGATTATATATACATGATCAATTTTTATTTGTGTTATTCAACAGAAACCAAATCTGATTCATTACACCAGCTTTTCGTGGGTGCTGAGTTATTGGACACATTTGTTTTCCATTTTGTCCATCTTGTCAAGCTGCCTGTTACGTGAGAGTGGTGGGGGGGGTGGTGGGTAGAGGTCTGGGTCACGTAATGATTTACACAGCGATGGCTTTCATGCTGGAATTGAATCCTTTTGTGTACTCCAACAGAAGTGGATCAGCTTAATTTTACAGTCCGGCTGATTTGTCCATTCTTCTCCTTCACCCTCCATTCTTGGTTCTCCTGTTGTCAGCTACTTGGTGTATTGCTGTCCTGTCCTCCCTTTCTTATCATGCCCTCAGCTTTCATGTGTCAGCTGCCCTCTTCTTCTTCTTCTCTGCTTTTTTTTTTTTTACCCTCGCTAGTGCATTCAGTAACCATGCAATCATAGCCTCTTGATCCCACTTCTTGCGGCTGTGCAAAATTATCCCCAATCAGCAGTCCTTGGCACTTATTACGCTCCTTACAGAGATGTAAACAGAAGGCACACCTGCTGTGCAATTTTGTCTGAACAGCGTCCGACTCTGGTAATAAGGAATCACAAGAATAATGTTTATAATCGAGTGTTTGAATGCTTTTCAAGTTCCCATTTAAGAAGGTCCAGGGACACAAATGTTCGAGGGAGCTTGAATTCCTGTTCGAATTACATGTTTTAAGGATTTTAGTCATAAATTATGCTGTTCAAATAAAACTGCCTAAAGAGCAGGCAGACAAAAGGTCAGGGGTCATGTGTGAGAAGTAACAAAGAGAGATTTTTTTGCTCTGACCACCAGGTCAAAAGTTCAGTTCACAGGTGGGCAAATGACTGCAGGTTGCTAATCCTGATGGAACATGCTGGGGTTGTGTTTGCATCAAATATTACGTCTACTTTAGGAGATAAGTGAAGCTCATAATAACTGTGGTAACAATGATGAATGATGGGGCAGTAAAGCGGTGCACTAAAACGTCCTCTCATTCTTTCCCTCCATAACTGGGAATTGCCTTGTAGGGTCAATTTGTCCAGACCATGCAGTACGGGGGCCACAGCTACGGCCTGACCAGAGATGCCATCGAGGATGTGGCCAAAGAAGGACTAGCCTGCTGTGTGCATATGGAGCTAGAGGTGCGTATGTAAACCTCTTGTCTGAGAGAACATCAAGCAGAGATATCAAATGTGGTCAATAAAGCCAGTCGAGTGACAGACAGTAGAGATTTAGGATCTACCAGCGACATATTCTTAAAAGGTCCCACGGTTATACATTTATTACATTCCAAAGAAATGTGACAATATGGTGAATATAATTCAAAGTTGCAACAGAAGGGCACTCAGTACGGGACGGATCTCCACCAGGTTTGTCTTCCTCTCCCCTCCCAAACAAAGAGGAGTCGAATGGAAGCAACGTTAACAAAAACAGGGTTTTATTCACCTAGTATCTTACCTAAATTTAGGGGATCATAAGATATTGAGTATGGATTTAATTTGTAGAAGCTCCGGTTCAAAATGAGTCCAAACTTTTCTGTGGATGTCAGCTTTTAAGCCACTACAAAGGCCAGATTGTGGCCTGCAACAGACTTGGTAAAGCTTGTTTTTAGCCGAGCCGATAGTCGAAAATGCCTTTTGCTACTGAAGCACTTATTGATCACATGCGGCCACACTAGTCGGTAAATAGGAGTCAGCAGTCAATGACGGTATATAAAACAGTCGATGAAATATGTTTTTCAAAAATTGTGAATCACTGCAACCTTGAGCATACAGTCATAAAGGAGCACATCAAATATCAGGCTGATGGGTCCAGTAGTATGCGAGATTAGTCGTGGACGGTCAGAAACACACACTGGACCAAAGGCGTATGATCTCCCCAGAGGCTCACGCCTGGCGAATATCAATCCCTCACTGTAACCGAACTGCAAACTGTTTGTCCATCCTCTCAGGGTGTGCTCAGTCTGAAGAACAGCTACTTTGAGCCTCGGTACATCCTGCTCATCCCCACCCAGGTTGAGAAATACATTGGCCACCTGAAGAGCCGCGGTGTCTATTCCGCAGCACAGATTGACGTGGCGGTGTCACGCGTAGAGCTCTACGCCGATACCAACAGGCAGCGACTGGGATTCTTCGATAATGTCGTCCCCTGTGGTACGGCAAAGAAGCACTTTTCCACTCGAGTACTTTCTTTATTGTGACATGGAATGTATTCATTAGTGTTGTTTGATGCTGTACTTGTTGTGGATAATAATGGGAATTATATATAATCTAGTGGCTAATCAGATCCATTTTATTATTTAGTTAATGGAAGTTTAAATGTAGTACAAAGTGTAATTATACATGTTCACATTTAATTTTCAACAAGCTAAGAAAACACTTAATTTATTGCTGGGGGGAGAAATGTTCTTTCTACTTCTTCAACCTTCGGATACGATGTCAGTAAGAAAGAAAGTTTCTTTGCTGTGACTGTTCTGTTCACTGACAGTTTTGTCATTGTGGTGCCTCGCAGAGCTCAAAGAAATGCCCCGCCTTACTCGGGCTTGGAGCAGTCCGAGTGTCACCGGTATAGCCTCGGATAAATTAACACACTTCGCTAAAATCCATGCACTACGCTTTCAATCCAATTACCGCATGTATTAAGGGCACGTAGCCGCAGAATAGCGGTGTTTATCATTCCCTCATGAAGGCACTTAGACATGTTAGCTGTTTCCTTAATGAGATGAACACACAGGGAGCGCGGAACCTCATCACTTTTATGCACTGCTAGCTACCGCCTCATTAAGCTAAGGTCATCATCCCCATATCTTTGATTCATTACTGTTTGATGGGAGATGCATTGGCTCTGTTCACCACCATATTTTGTGTGTGTGTGTGTGTGTGTGTGTGTGTGTGTGTGTGTGTGTGAGTAGATGACTGGGAGGAGGCCTTTCAGACACTGAGGCAGATAGTGAAGGAGTACCTGGTAGAGGAGCAGGAAGAAGGAGAAAACAACAACAGAGGATGCCCTGACAACACCTCCACTGGTGTGTGTATTTGTTTGTTTGTTCGTTCAGATCATCATTAGCTGACTCAAAGCGTCAGGGTGCAATAAACACTGGCAGTAAAGTGCAGCCAATGGCGCCTTGTGCATTTTTTTTTGTCTTATTTAAAGGGGCAATTCCCTTTAAATTCCCACTCAGCCTGTGAAAACAGATGTATAATACCGTCTGTGGCTCTGGAGCAGCTTTGTTGAGTCTGAAAACATTACCAGCATCCCTTTGAGCATCTCAGCTTGCGAGCATGGATGGCTTTTGCTCCATCCAACCAATAACCATCATATGCACTATTACACAGTATTGATACAGTCTCTTCCTCGGTCAGGTCACAAGCCAGAGGAGAAGCCACTGTCACCACCCCTGTCGAGGCCCGGATCAGGAAGACTCGCGTCACACTCTGCCCCAGCTCTTGACCCCTCAGATCTGTCTTACAGGAACTACTTCAACAAGATCCAGGAAGAGCTCTGCCCTCCGAAGAGCGCCACTGTGAGTTACAATATGTCTGATGTGCACTTTATTGTTCATGAAGACTGTAACACATTTATGGGGAAAATATCCCCACTCTTCTAACAGGTTGCTTTTCCATACATTATCGCTCCCCCCGTCCCACTTTCCTCCCCCTTTTCTCCTCTGCCCTTTAATCACCCTTCACTTCAACTCCTGTTTCTCACCTGCTATCCCTCTCCGTCTTCCTATTTCCTCTCAACCACCACTCCTCCTCCTCCTTCTCTCCATCTCTCTCCTCTGCAGGAGCTGGCTTCCAT